AAGGCCTGGTGCAATATGGTTCATGGGGTCACGAAGAGTCGGACACAACTTAACGACTAAACAACAACAATGACAATATTCAAGAGCAGGAAAGGGTAAGTGGGCCAAACAGTTTAAGAACCACTTGCTTAGAGAGATGTGTGAAGTCAGATGGCTTAAAACTAATCAGTTGACTCTTGTTAACATGACCTGCAGCTGACTCTTCCATGTCTATGAAAACCTCCATGCATGACAGCAATCTCATACTGAAAGATTTGGAAATAATTGCCATCTGCCCCAGCCAGACAGGCAGGAGTACACCTTTTATTGCCTTTGGGACCAAAAGTTACAGCTTTATGACCTACAAAGCAAACAGTCATATAACTTGGAAAGCTAACTTGCTCTGCCTTTGCAGCGTTGTGGCACGTGGGTCTTCAACAGACCTCTCTACCTTGTTTCTTCAAAATAGAACACATCCCAGAGATGCCAAAAATAGCAAAAGAGGCTGTAAGTGGGTTTGCCCAACAACTGTATTGCCCAACATGTTAACCAAGTCAATTGAAAACCCAGGTGCTTCATTTGCACAACATGCTAATGTTGATTGACTGATTGATTGATGGGCCACAAAATTGGTATTGACTCTTAGCAACTATATAGATATATTTTCTCTATGACAATCTGTCCCTAACCTGGTCTCTCAGGTCTTCCAACTACTGTAACTGAGTCCATCCACCTTGCTGCTGGTCATCCTCTACTCTTTCCTTCCACCTTTTCCAGCAGCAATGTGTTGGGCCCTTCAGAGAGCTGGGTCTTCACATAATGTGTCCAAGGTAGGATAATTTGAGCCTGGTCATTTATGCCTTGAGTGAAAACTCTAGGTTGATTTGTTCAATGACCCATTGGTTTGTTTTCTTGGCTGTCCACAGTATTCTCAGGAATCTTCTCCAACACCAAAGTTCACAAGTGTCAATACTCTTCCTATACTGCTTCTTCAAAGTCCAATATACTAAGGTAAATTAGTTTTAACCTTGGGTTAGAAGGAGCTGTGTGCAAAACCTATGGTTCCAGAGATAGAATGTTCTGGGAAACCGTAGAACCTTCTTTTTTTTTCCTGGAACACTCCATTCTGGGGTAATCCAATCTTTTATTGGAAGTAAATCTTCTGGAAGAGAAAGTGGTTTGTGGTCTTCCTGCTCTAGGAGATTTGTTTCTGGAAAATGACTGGACCACTCTGGAATGGCCAATCCGTAAGAAAAACAAACATTCCAGTTTCCCCAGAACATTCTATCCCTGGCATACAGTTTTGCGCACCTCTTGTTAAAATTACATCAAATTCAGGGAAGCCAGGTTTCTCAAATGAGCCAGCAAGCTTTTAATTCGAGTGTGCAAATGCAGAAAATGGGTAAGTTAATTAACAGGCTGGGTGAACAACTTTCACGTTAGACCACATTGTGGGTCTGCTTGGTATTGAGTGTGTTATGTGAATCTATTAGGGTTTGTCAAACATTGTGCTAGGCTTGGATGTGGTGCAAGCAAACCACAATTCAAGAAATTATGGCTCAGTGCAATATACAAACACAAGCATAATTCATGAATGGATATATGAAATTGATCTTGTATTTCATAGAAAAGTAGTTCAAGTGATGGGCACGTTCTACCAGAGAAGGAGAATATTGCCTCCAGTGTATTTTAAAGTTTGGTTTCCATTAGAGATGTTCAGATTTCTTACCCTCTGAAGACAGACAGATTCACAGGCATTGAGCAGCCAAAAATATTAAGTACTTATCATTCTAGGAGTCAACACCACACTGGCTGAAGGCAGTAAAGTTATGCTGTAGCCTTTCCAATCTGGAGGCCCTCCAGAAGCATTGGGTTGGGAACTGCTGGCTGAGAATTCTGGGTCTTGCAATCCTAATATTTCAGGAGAACGTCAGATTTGGAAAGCTGGTCTATTGACAATGTAGCCATGAGCTTGGTCCTATAGGATGAATCCTTGGATAGGCTGTGAAGTTGTCTGGTATCCCTAGTTGTCACCACCAGCCAGATTCAGTTTCAAGTCAAGGAGGCCTTCCCATCACAGTCTCCAATTTCAATCCAGATTTACTGGCGATATTCTGAGGTATACTGTCCCCCCAATTCCTTACCTTTTTACGGTGGAGTTTTTGCTTCTCCCGGAAATCCTCCATTTTCTTTGCTTCTTCCCTGAGATTCTGGGCTAGCTGGATATGACTTTGGCCAACGCTCTCTACCCCTAGAAGTAAGAAACCCAGGCTGGTCATCAACTCTGGTAGGAAAGCCATTTTTATTGTCATTTTATAGATAAGAAACCAATGCAGAAACACAAAAACTAGACTTGTACCTTGTGCAAAGCTATAATTTGCTTAAACACAGTCCACCTAGTACACTACAGTTACCTAACTTCACATTTCACAGTTAAGCATAAATTGGGCTTACAAACCACAATGGCTGGATTCACATACTTTAAATCAAGCCCAAACTCATCAAAACCAACCATGGTTTACCTTAAAATGTAAAACAGGCCACTATGATTTACTCCACAAACCAAGCTAAAACAACAGCTCTGATTCTTTAGTTTTCCCTGGCTGAGCTAGCAAAGAAACCAGTTTGAGCATTATCGTTTGCTAAATCAAGCTGCAAATAGGAGAATGGACCAGAGAAAGAATGTCCTACTTTATTTATTAGATGTGTACCTACAGAGGAGCACAGAGATGACCTCGGAGAAGGCATGAAGAGACTGTTAGCAAACCATGAGCATAGCCTGAGAAAACAGGAAAGTATGAGAAAGAAACTCAAGATTTCCTTGCCTTGACTTTTTTTTGGTATAAGAAGGAGGGAAGAAGGAATGCTGCCAGACTTTCAAGATTTTGTTATTACAGCTTATATCAATAATCAAGCAAAGTTTTAGTATTTCTTATATGTCTGTTCCCTGACCTGGTCTACTTCAAAGGGCTAACATCAGTTTAGACTATAGTAGCAGAATCTTTAAAGCCTGACTGTGTTTCCCCTTCCCTCCCTCTTACACCAAAGAGAGTCAAGGCAGGGCAACTTTAATTTTCCTTGCTAACAATCTCCATATATCTTCTCCAAGATCATCTCTGTGGTCCTCTACAGTACTCAACCTTTCTCCAAGGTCAAGACAATGAAATTGATTCTCTCTCTCTCCACTTCATAATCTGATGTATTTGCTAAGAACTTGCCTCACCCCAAGTTAAATTCTTGCCCCATCTGACCCAGTATTACCTACACTGACTAGCAGCAGCAATTCTTCAGATAGGCATCTTCCAATGTCCTACCTGGAAATGCAACCTGGAAATGCAAGGCAGGTGTTCTGCCTTAAATTATGGCCTTGAATCCAAGTTAGGCTGGGAGACTGCAATCAGCCCCAGGGTACCCAGCTCTAGACCATCAAGTAGTTTGAGTCTAACATTGCATTATGTGTGAACCTAGCCACTGTAACTTATATTCCAAACCACAATTAAAACAAATTATGCATAATGAAAGCAACTACTCTAACCTCTTGGCTAGCAAAGAGTTTGTTTGTTTGTTTGTTTGTTTGTTTGTTTGTTTGTTTGTTTGTTCAATCACTGCTGTACCGTACATC